GTATTCCTCGGCGGGGTGGGCGCGGAACTCGCGGGCGAACACGTCCAGGATCTTCTCGCCCACCCAGCGGCCCTTCGTGAACGTGGTGAAGGTGAAGTAGTACGGGTACACCTTCCGCAGACCTGGGGGCAGCGGCAGCGGTCACGGTGCGCTCGCTCCCACCACAGGAGTGTCGTCGAGCCAGCCGACTGCTGCGGCGGCTACGGAGTTGAGACGGCTCCGAAAGTGAATTCGCTCCCAGGATTGGACACGTTTCGCCTTAAAAGTTAGGAGGGGTCGAGCGGAAACCTGCAAAGGTTGCGGACGCCCATCCCGAACTGGACCCACAACCAGCCCCGTCCATAAGGCTGCCTCGAGACGGATTTATGAAAACGGGCTAGTCTTAAGGCTTTGTGGGCTATCTCTGACGAAAAAAGACGCCGATCAGTTCATGTTCGCATGAAAACCCCGCACTCAACGACGATTAAAACACACGCTCGTTACGCAGCACGAAAAATGGCCTTCGGCACGGCTGACCGTTCTCAACTATCTTCGCATGGTTTTGGACTAACAATGTGCAACGAACAGGACCAAAGGAACATAATGGCACGGACGGCACCCCTCCGCCACAGGAGGGAGTACCTGCGCCAGTCTCGCCGCACGCGCCGCGCCAGTCCGCGGACAGAGACGCCGCGCCAGTCTCGCCGCCAGCGCCGCGCCAGCTCAGCAACCGGGCCAGCAGCCTCATACAGCCAGTAGAGGTACGGGCATGCTTGAAAGAGGGTCTGCTTTTGCATTGCCTGAGGTTTTAGTGTGGTTTGGGGCTTCATGTGGGATGCGGGACACACAATGGGCGCAAAAGCCCCCAGAACGGCGCCTAAGCATGCACGCAAGTCCACCTATGGGCGCAACTTCTTCTTCGACCCGACAGGTTCCACTTGGCTACACCTGGGCTGGCCGCGGCGTGTTTCGTTGGCTCGAGAGCTGCAACAAACCCCGCACCAGGCTAACCGGGAGGGAGTGGCACCCGTCGGCGTGGCCCACGCCGGCCGGGGGCGGGGGACGTCCTCAGCAGAGCGCGAAGGTCTGTCTTTTGTTAAGTGCTGTCAGCCACGGCGGTTCGGTGGCAAGGTCCGGAAAGAAACTGACCAAGGTCCTCGCTTGCACTCGCCATGGAGGTTCTTCAAGAGGGCCCAGGATAGGGCTCTCAAAGGTCCCGGGAAAACGCCGTCCTTGGCTCCGGCTTCAGAAGATTGGCCGTCACTTAAAGGCAACTTCCAGCGACGAATTAGTACAATCCGCAACACGCAAAACGTGTGGGTTACGTCATTAATCCACAAATTAGCACCGTGTCACTTCTGCTCTAAGTTGTTATAAACATGGGGCGGGTGGCGAACTGCTTTTATAGCAGTATGCCACCCCATAATAACGTCAAACTCATAATACACCACCACTCTCACACAATAACGTCAAAATACCACACGCAACGGACTGTAGGTTGGCCAGCCTGTTTGGCAGGCGCATCACTCGCATCAGCGCGGCGCCGGCCGACTGCAGCGCAATGTTCAGCGCGATCAAACGAGGCCGAGAGAGGCGGGCTGACTGCCGGGCCTGCATCAACAAACAGTCGCCCGGGCCGGCAGCCGACGGTCCGGGTAACAGGCACGCCAGCCGGCTCCTCCACAGGCGAACGGACCGGGGTCTGTGGCTCGGGTAACAGCCACGCCAGCCGGCTCCCAAACAGGCGAACGAGCCGGGTCTGTGGCCCGGGCCGGCAGCCGATGGCCGGGTAACAGCCACGCCAGCCGGCTCCCAAACAGGCGAACGAGCCGGGTCTGTGGCCCGGGCCGGCAGCCGATGGCCCGGGTAACAGCCACGCCAGCCGGCTCCTACACAGGCGAACGAGCCGGGTCTGTGGCTCAGGCCGGCAGCCGATGGCCCGGGTAACAGCCACGCCAGCCGGCTCCTACACAGGCGAACGGACCGGCGTCTGTGGTCAGAGCGCTGCGTCACGCGGCGCAGTCGCGGGCCGGAGGGACGCGTCGCCGCCGCTCGTCACCCGCCCACGGCTGCCGCAGATTGGCGCTGGACAGTTCAGCGTCGCCGAGTTCGGCCCGGCGTGGGGACACCTTGGCGGAGCTGCCACTGAGAACCGGGCGAAGTTTTCAGCCAGGATGTCCCGGAAAACTTTCACAGCACGCCAGCCGTTCACAAGCGGACGCCGCGCTCGCCTTGGTCTCGCGTGAAAATGCAGGGTACAGCTGTAGAAAGCAGCTGGGCGGGGCGACGTCCTGGCACGGCTGCGAGATCCACACGAAACAGACCCTGTGAATATTCAAGCCAGGCGCTGTAAAAAGGACACCTTTGAAAGCCTCATACTCTCCCCCTGATCTGACCAGTCCCAGCCCGCGATGCGGGGCACATCCGTAACGTGTGCACCTGTAGGCGAGCCCGCGCTTTGCAGGGCATTTATGCGGCTGATTGAAGGACCTGTTCCTACAATATGAGCTCTTGTTTAATAACATGCGGCACAAATTAATTACAAAAAACTAGAGCAAAGACTTGTATGCATCAAGTTCGATCAGCGGAGCATTCTGTGACGACAGTTTGTGACTACAGACGGCTCAACCGACCTGGTCTGCACCGACTTCTACTGCTTCTAGAACAAAATCTCTTCTCCATTTCCAGCTTCACAGAACAAAACTTGAGCTGAGCAGGGGATTACGAGTGAAGCCTGAGATTCCATTAGCGATGTCTAATGGAAAGGCTGCACCTCAGGCTTACCTTTCATGTAAACCTACTTTTTCATGTAAGCCTGCCTCTTCGGCAGGATATTTAGTTACCTGTATTTGCGATGCACCTCTGCGAGACAAAAGGGGCCCGAGAAAAACCTGCATCCACATTCCACCTTTGGTTAGATTATCCGCTCGACTCTCCCGCGATCGTCCTCACCCTCTTCTTCTTCTCTCACCTGCACCCAACTCACACACCACACAAGCGCTTCCTTTTTTACTCATATCCTATCCTACCGTCTGAAAAGTGATCAGAGAGAGAAGGGAAAAAAGAGAAAGATTGCTCGTGAGTTTTCATTAACCGGCACCATCTGAAGTAGTGGCATCGAGAGCAATTTCTTTGCATTACGTTTTTTATATTTTGCTACAAACTTTTACATTATTTTATTACTGGCGGTATGAAACAGATTCCATCTTTCAAGTCGCTTATCGAGTACCGCGACACATTTCACGAACACATTTGTTACAGACCCAGTAGCAGAGGTCGACCGTAGTTGTCGTCAGACCGGCATAAGGCAGACTTTGATCGGGGGTGACCCAGCAGGCGTCAGCCAGGTCCGGCGTACGCTTCGCTCAGACTTCGCAACGCTTCGCAAGTCCCTCTCTCTCGCAAGTCTCTCGAGACGCTTCGCAAGTCTCTAACTGAGGGGGTGTTAACACGGCGGAGACACTGAAAACACGTCAACAAACGCATTTCACCCCGTATAAGGCTCACTTTCTTCTCAAAGTTGGGGGAGGGGGGGGGGGCTTGATCCCAAGTTGAGGGGAGAACTGGCGCCACCAGATGGATAGGAAACTACACCTCTTGCCATCCATAGGTTGCGTGGCACGAGATATGAATATCGCACCCAGCGTGAGATGGCCGACACATGCCGAGCTCACGCGCTGCCTGACTTCAGCCCACCTGTGTCTCTTTAGTCTGACTTCAGCCCACCTGTGTCTCTTTAGTCTGACTTCAGCCCACCTGTGTCTCTTTAGTCTGACTTCAGCCCACCTGTGTCTCTTTAGTATGACTTCAGCCCACCTGTGTCTTTAGTCTGACTTCAGCCCACCTGTGTCTCTTTAGTCTGACTTCAGCCCACCTGTGTCTCTTTAGTCTGACTTCAGCCCACCTGTGTCTCTTTAGTCTGACTTCAGCCCACCTGTGTCTCTTTAGTCTGACTTCAGCCCACCTGTGTCTCTTTAGGCTGACACCACACACAGGTCGTTTGACTGGGTTATTCGCTAAAACATGAGACGACTATACGCCACCTGGATAAGTGGCGATTTATTCATTGCAGCCACCGTACAAATACTTTCTGCAGTCCCAAATGGGCCGTAACTGGAGTTCGAGGATATCACCGCAAACCACAAATGGAGCACACTGGCTTGGTTCGAAGGCGGTGGTAGGCACTCCCGTTCGTTCATACTTCACTGCCACCACATGGATGGCCACGAATCCTTCCAAACGGGTAAATGTAAACCACTTTGGTGATTTGAGCAAACTTAAAACATGGCGGGCGTTTCAGTACTCTGCCGGAAGGCAGAGCACTCCAGCGCGAAGCACGTTACGATGGTGTTTTGCAATCGGTCAAATATCTTCCGAGTATGTCATCACTTCAGAAGAATTTCGTCAACGAATTATGTTGATTCAGACTGCTGTTGGACGAAAGTCTGCCTTGAAGCGAGAAAACCCCCAAGGCAACTGCTTTCTGTCCTGCAAACTCAACCAGCCAACCATGTACGCGCAGCGTTTACAACCACGTTTCGCACCAAATGACACCAGTCTCACCACCTTGCGGATGAAGGCACACCGCTCGTGAGTCCCCACCGGCCTGCGTCCCCATGATTCACGGGCTTAGTTCAAGCACCATCTGCGGCGAGTCGCGTCCTTTCGCCGCCGCGCCGGCTGGCTCACCAGGCGAACGGCGAACCCCGTGAACTCGCGCGTGGCGCCGGCTTCTCACCCCGACGCCAGCTTCCGACGGCGCTGTGACCGAGCCGCCCGATCAGCTCCCACTCACGAGGCTCCGTCGCACGGGGCTGCCGCGCGACCCTCGGCGTCCACCAGCCGGGCCAATCAGCTCCCACTCACGAGGCTCCGTCGCACGGGGCCGCCGCGCGACCCTCGGCTCCATGTCGGGAAAGGCGACCGATTCACTTGCAGTGAGGTGTCTGAGGAACGACCCACGGTGTTCGAGCACTTGAGAGGAGTGTAAGGATCGCTGTCGTACTTGCGCCAGCGATACTCAAACCCCAACTCGATGCAGAAGAACCACATCTGCCCCAGCAGCGCCAGCCGCAGCAGTCCGGAAACAAATTCAGCGTTTGTGAAACAGCTGTGGACGCGCTCACGAGCTCATCGGTACCTG